GACCTGGCTGCTAACTCTTCAGCCTTTTCCCTCCTCCGCTCCTCAGCAGCTCTGCGCATTTCATCTTCTTGTAGTTTCTGTCGGGCAGCCGACAGCTCTTGGCCTTGTCTCCGGCGCTGCTTTTCTCGTTCTAATGCCTCCCGCTCCTCCCTTTCTTCACGTTCCCGCTGCTTCTGGGCCACCAACTCCAACATTCTGTGTTGGAGAAAGGAAAGAGTTCAAGAAAAATAGCTGAGTATATAAAAAGGAACTCTGAGAAATAGCAGGAAACATGTCCCAAAATAGATGAAAAAAAAATTAAAAGACAATTAAAAATAAGAAAGGTGCCGGGTGTGGGTGGCTTGAGGCTGGGCTCTGAGCATCACCAGCTGGGGGCAGAGAAGTCCCTGAAACTTTTTTTTTTTGCCAGGCCTGGGTCTTGAACTCAGGGCCTAGGCACTGTATGCGCCTTCTTTTCCTCAAGGCTAGCATTCTACCACTTGAGCCACAGCTCCACTTCCAGCTTTTTCTTTTTATGTGATACTGAGGAATCGAACTCTAAGCTTCGTGCATTCTCGGCAAGCATTCAACCAAGCCACATTCCCAGCCTTGAGACTCTTACCTCCAATTTATCACCAAAAAAACCTTAAGTGGAGGTGTGGTAAAGGGAAAAAGGCAGGGCACTGACCCCAGATTTCAAGGGCGCACACGCACGCACACACACACGCACACACACGCACGCACGCACACACACACGCGCACACAAACACACACACGGAGAAGAGAGCTAGCTCATTAGTAGAGCACATGCTCAACATACAGGAGATCCAGGACTTTAAAAAGAAAAGGAAAAAAAAGATGCCGGACACCGAGGGCTCATGCCTGTAATCCTAGCTACACACAGGAGGCTGAGATCTGAGGATTGCGGTTCAAAGCCGGCCTGGGCAGGTAAATCAAACCAAGAGACTTTTATCTCCAATTAATCACCAGAAAACCGGAAGTGGCACCGTGGCTCAAAGTGGTAGAGCACTCGCCTGGAGCCGAAGAGCTCAAGGGACAGCGTCCAGAGTTCAAACACCATGACGGACCAAAAACAAACACACAAAAAAATACAAGGGAAATGTGTTAAGGTGAAGGTATCCGACAAAGGGTGTTTACGTTTGAGAGGAGTGAAACACGATCCCCGGGGAAAGTAAGATTGGTATTTACTGGACCTCTTAGTCTGTTCTTGTCTTTCTTCTTCGGTCAAAGTTGGTTTGCTTTCGCCAGCAGCAGACCCAGGTCCTACAAACAAGCAACAAGCATGACTACCCCGCGGGATTCTCTTCTGCCCTCGCCAGGAAATCGGCTGTCTCCCCGTCAGGACCTTCAGGGCCAACTTGCTCTGAGGAGGTGGGTTCCCGTCCCAGGATATGTCCGAGAGGCATCTCTAGAGGCTCGTCCACGTCGGGGTCGTCTTCGTGTTCCATCAGCCTGGCAGGGCAAGTCGGCAGGGGAAACTGGGCGTGAGGCCGCCCCTGCGCCGCCCCTCCGCCGCGCCTCCCCGCCCCCCGCCGGCCCGGCCGCTCACCAGTCCATCGCGGCCTCGATGCCCTGGTTCCCCGTGAGGGCCAGAGCCTTCTCCCTGGGGGCAGAAACACCGTCAACACGCGCCCGCCGGCCATCGTGACGGGCCGACTGGGGCAAAGGCCAGGACGGATCCGCGGCCCTCCACCCCGGGGCCGGGGGACCGGGGAGCTGGGGGGCTCGGGGCGCTCTTACGCGCGTCCGCTGGGAAAACCCATCTCGATGAGACTCTCCAGAGCCGTCAGCTCCGCCATGACGACGCCAGCCACCGCTTCCGCGGGGACCTGGCAGGGTGAGAAGGAAGGCGGCGAGGCTCAGCGTGGGGCAAAGCCGCCCTCGACGCCACCCCCGCGGACCGGCGCTCGCTCAACTCACCCGGCTCGGGACCCGCCGGGGACACCGACGAGAAGAAAGCCGAAGGGAAGCGGAAGTACCCGAGTCTGTTTGGGTCACGTGGGAGCGGGCGTGGACGGGGGCCGCGGAGAGCCAAAAGTCTTCCCCACCTATCGGTCGCCAGGACCTTGCGCACGCCGGCGGGGGCGGGGCGGAGGGAAAGTGGGCGGGAATGCGGGGCGGGCTCAGCCAACCGCGGGCCGCGGATACCGTGCTGGGGGAAGGTCCAAGGAAACCCTCCTGAGAGGTCAATCTGGAAAGCGGGCGCCGGTGGCTCACACCTGTGATCCTAAGAACTCAGGAGGCCGAGCTCTGAGGATCGCGGTTCAGAGCCAGCCTGGGCAGGGAAATCTGGAGGAGCATGGCCGCAGCTTGCTGGAGAATTGTGTAGCAGTGGTTATCAGGAGTCACAGCAGCTCTCAGGCCCTTTCATCCTCGCCTGGGAACTGAGCTGTTCTTTACCCCATTGCCAAAGGGATTTTTGCAACACTGTGTCTGACAGTCTTATCACCTTCCGGGCTTTGAAACCTTGGCATCTCAGCTATCTCGGATGTAACTAAAAATGCTGCTTTCCTCCGGCACCCCAGGCCCTCTGTTTTATTTTGTTTCATTGAAAGACAGAGTCTTGCTTTGTAGCCCAGGTTGACCTAGATTCTCTGCCTCTGCCTCCCAGAAGACAGGTTTCCGGAGAATGCCACCAGCTACCACGCCGTTCGTTTACAAAGAAGAGCGCTAGCCTTGAGCTGAAGATGCAGGGACAGCGCCCAGGCCCAGAGTTCCAGCCCCACGACCGACCAAAAAAAAAAAAAAAGACAAGAAAAGAAGAAAGAAAGGAAAAGGATTTGAAAGTATATGTACTATAACTGGGTTTGGTATGTGTGGCAGTGCATGCTTATAATCCCAGCACTCCAGAAACTGAAAGAGCAGAATCTAAAATTTAGGCTGGGAATGTAGCTTAGTGGTAGAGGGCCTGCCTGACATTCATGAAGCCCTGGGTTTGATTCCTTAGTACTACATATACAGAAAAAGCCAGACGTGTCTCTGTGGCTCAAGTGGTAGAGTGCTAGCCTTGAGCAAAAGAAGGTCAGGGCCCTGAGTTCCAGCCCCAGGATTGGCAATAAATAAATAAATGAAATTCCAATCCTGCTCGTGCTACATAAAGATCTTCATTCAAAGAAAAAAGTGTGTGTGTGTGTATAAGCTAGAAGCAGAACCATGGCCCAAGTGGTAGATCGCTAGCCTTGAGCCCAAAAAGGCTCAGAGACAGCAGCCCAGGCCCTGAGTTCAAGCACCAGGACTAGAAAATCAAGAAAACAGATGTGTAAACAAGCAATCCAAAGGGATCTGAGAAGGCCTCCTTTTAAATTTCCTTTAATGTTATCACAGTGGATATATAGTCAACACAAATGGGGACGGGGATTCCTAGGTATTGCTGTTAGTTTTGTTTTAACTAAAAGGAACACTAACAAGACAAGTGCTAGTGCCTCGCTTGTGTCATCCTACTCAGGAGCTCAGGAGGTGGAGATCTGAGGATCATGGTTCAAAGCCAGCCAGGGCAGGAAAGTCTATTAGGCTCTGATGGCCAACTAACCAGCAAAAAATAGAAGTGGAGCTGCGGCTTAAGTGGTACAGCACTAGCCTTTGGCAAAAACACTCAGAGACACCTCTCAGTTGGAGAGGTGAGAACCCTGAGTTCCATCTCTAGGACGCATGTGTGCACACATACACAAATCCACTAACTTGTGTCAGCATGGTCCTTTCCTGTCTTCTCCATCCCTTATCAATCTTGTCTCCTCCCTCCTCAGACATAAGTGGACTGTGCCCTGGATGTGTTTATCCACCATTACTAAACAAAAGGTCACAGAAAGATGGGCTCCAACCCCAAACTCCCACTGATATCAAGCTTATTTTTAAAATTCACTCTCCTGTAATCTTCACTACTTTGGAAGTCATGTAATCCTAAATTACTCAAGAGGCTGAGATTTGAGGATAATAGTTCAAAGTCAGCCTGGGCAAGGGAAATCTGTGAGACTCTATCGCCACTAAATTACCAAAAAAATCTGGAAGTGGGATTGTGGCTCAAGTAGTAGAGCACAAGCCTTGAGCAAAAGCAGCTCAAGGATAGTGCTCAGGCCCTGAATTTAAACCCAGGATTAGCATGCAAATATAAGCACAAGTACATTGCATGAGCACGTATACATACACACACACACACACAGACTCTGAACTCCCAATGAAGCCACCCACAGTAATAAAACTCTTTTAAGAGTACTTGATTTGGAAGCATGGGCTAACACCATTTTTTTTTTTTTTGCTTTTTTTTTTCTTCTTCTTGTGCTTGTAATGGGGCTTGAACTCTGGGTCTTAATGCTGTCCTTGAGCTTTTTCAGTCAAGACTAGCACTCTACCACTTGAGCTATAGCTCCACTTCCAACTTTTTAGTGGTTAATTAGAGAAAGTCTCAGACTTTCCTGGGGTTGCTTCAAACTGCAATCCTTAGATCTCAGCCTCCTGATTTGCTAGAATGACTGATGTGAGCTACCTCCTCCCTGCTCAGTTTTTACATTTTCATCAATATATTTTTTTTTGGGTCCAGTCGTGGGGCCTGAACTCTGGGCCTGGGCACTGTCCCTCAGCTCTTCAGCTCAAGGCTAGCACTCTACCACTTTGAGCCATAGCGCCACTTCTGGCTTTTTGCTTTTTGCGTATGTGGTGCTGAGGAATCGAACCCAGGGCCTCATGCATGCAAGGCAAGCGCTCTACCACTGAGCCACCTTCCCAGCCCCTCATCAATATATTTTAAATGGCTATATACACCACTACATAATGTTCTTGATATTATCTTTCCAAACTCACAAAGCCTAAATCATTCATGATCTCAGCATTTGGAGGAAAATTGCTATTTCTTCCTAGTCCTCAGCCCTGGACCTTAAAAAATTCTCAACCCTGAGATCTCAGTGGTGGCCCCATTATCTGGACCTGGCTCTGCTTGGTTGTCAGATTAGTGCCATGCGTCCCCAAGTCCCTGCACTCCTGCCAAATGGGGGTGACCCAGGGTCCAATCAGACAGTCCTTGCAGCTGGGCGGTGACGGGGGCAGCCCCATCGCTCACGTAGACGGAAGTGCCAGAACAGCGCAGCACAGCTCAAGAGGGCCAGAGCTGTGCCTACCCCCACAGCGGCATGGACCAGGGTAGCGGGTCTGGGTGGCACAATGATCTGGCCACAGGGCCCAAAGGAAGGGAAGGTCACACTCTCCTGGCCATCTTCACCTGCCCCAGGGACCTCGCTCTCCCCAGCTTCGTTAACAGCCACCACACAAATGACATAAGTGCCCCCAGGCATCAGTCCCTTCAGTTCTGCTCTTCGGACTGTAGCATTGAGAGGGGCCCCCTTCTGTGGCTCCCCAGAGCCTCCCCAAAGCAGCAGCCAGTAGTAGTGGACTGGGGAGTACGGTGCGCACCAGTGGACCTCAGCGCGGCCCTCCTCGGCCACAATGCGAACTTCTCCCAAGCGTGGTGGGTCAGGTCGCTGGGCGGGGCTAGAGAGGCCGGGGCACAAGCAGGCCACCGGCCCAGCCCTCTGCAGCTCATGGCAGGGCACCTGCAGGTGGCGGCATCGGTCATAGTCACAGCGGAGAGCCAGCAGAGGCGTGCTCACTGTCTCATCTTCGTCATCCTCCTCCAAGTCTTGAGGGGTCAAAGGCTGAGCTCTGGGAACCAAGGAGAAGGCCATGGCCAGGAGCCACAGAAGGCAAGGAGAGTGGAGCATGGAGTCTGGAAGGGAAGCGGTGAAGAGGTAAAAGATGTCAGTCCTGCTTTCTAGGGCCCCTTGCCTTCCTAGGCAGACCCTCTACGGACAGGGAAACAAGTGAGGATCAAGACTGAAAAAGGACGGGGCTGGGAAGGTGGCTCAGTGGTAGAGCACTTGCCTTGCATGCATGAGGCCCTGGGTTCGATTCCTCAGCACCACATAAGCAGAAAGCAAAAAGCCAGAAGTGGCGCTGTGGCTCAAGTGGTAGAGCGCTAGTCTTAAGCTGAAGAGTTGAGGGACGGTACCCAGGCCCAGAGCAGCTGAAGAGCTGAGGGACAGTGCCCAGGCCCAGAGTTCAGGCCCCAGAACCGGACCCCCAAAAAAAAAGATTGAAAGAGGAAAGAGGTGAGAATGAAACACTTATTTACATAAACAAAACTGGGGGATCACGCCTGTAATCCTAGCACTCAGGAGGCTGAAATCTGAGGATTGAGTTGTTTTTTGTTTTTGTTGATCAGGGCCAGGGTATTGTCCCTGAACTTTTTCACTCAAGGCTAGTCCTCTACCACTTTGAGCCACAGCACCACTTCCAGTTTTCTGGTGAGTAATAGGAGATTAAGAATCTTAAGGAGGGGCTGGGGAGGTGGCTCAGTGGTAGAGTGCTTGCCTTGCATGCCTGAGGCCCTGGGTTTGATTCCTCAGCACCACATAAGCAAAAAGAAAAAAAGCCGGAAGTGACACTGTGGCTCAAGTGGTAGAGCGCTAGCCTTGAGCTGAAGAGCTGAGGGACAGCGCCCAGGCCCAGAGTTCAGGCCCCATGACCGGACCCAAAAAAAAAAAAAAAAAAAAAGAATCTTAAGGACTGGGCACTGGAGGCTCACACCTGTAATCCTAGCTATTCAGAAGGCTAAGATCTGAGGATCATGGTTCAAAGCCAGCCTGGGCAGAAAAGTCTATGTGTGACTTTTATCCCCAATTAACCACTCAAAAACCAGACATGGTACTATGGCTCAAGTGGTAGAATTCTATCCTTGAACAAAAGAGGCTCAAGGACAGCACCCAGGCCTGAGTTCATGTCCCACAACCAGCATCACGAACAACAAAAAGTCTTTCGGACTTTCCTACCTGGGCTGGCTTCAAATTGAAATCCTCAGATTTCAGCCTCCTGAGTAGCTAGGATTACAAGCATGAGCCACTGGAGCCCAGCCTGAGGACTGAGTTGTTGTTGGTTTGGGGGGATTTTTTTTTCTATCTCATGCATGCTAGGCAAATACTCTACTAAGTCACATTCTTAGTTCAAGCCCTAGTATTGGCACACACACACATACAAATGAAATCCAGCCCAACACATGAGATGCATGGCCAGAAATGTGCAAACGTGCTACAAAAAGCTAGTTTTTCTTTTGTTTTTGATTTTGCTAGTCCTGAGACTTGAACCCAGGGCCTGGGCATTGTCTCTGAGCTTCTTGTTGTGGTTTCTTTTTTTGGTTGGTTGTAGGGCCTGAACTCTGAGCCTGGGCACTGTCCCTTAGCTCTTTAGCTGTAAATTAGCGCTCTACCACTTGAGCGTCATCCTCACTTCCGGCTTTTTTTCTGCTTATGTGGTGCTGAGGAATCGAACCAAAGGCCTCATGCATGCAAGGCAAGCACTCTAACACTGAGCCACCTTCCCAATCCCTGAGCTTCTTTTGCTCAAGGATAGCACTCTACCACTTGAGCCACAGCACCACTCTGGCTTTTTGTTTACATGGTACTGAGGAATCAAACCTAGGACTTCATGCATACTAGGTAGGCACTCTTCCACTAAGCCACATTGCCAACACAGGGCTGGTAAAAGATGAGGAAGAAATGATTTACTCAGCTCAGGGTGGGGTGATCAGGGGAGAAAAAGGTAAGACTAATTTCCGGTTGCCACTCTGAGAAATCTTAGCAAACGAATCTTAGCAACACACGCAAAAACTCAGAAAGAGAACTTAAGAACAGAAAGGAGAAAGAAAAAAACCCAGAATCCTTATTCTCCACCTGTATCTCATGCAAATATTATCAAAGCAGTCCCCCTCCCTGCCCGTCCCCGCTTCCCCTCAGACCCACAGACCCCCTCACCACTGGGAGTCTGCAACCAAGTATCGATGGTGTCCGCCAAATCGTTCCCAGCAGCGCAGGCCACACTGTCAGGTTGTATCTTCAATTTCAGTTCAGTTTTGGCTGAAAGCTTTTATACCCTTCAACCCTGATGTCACCACCTAGCCCCTTCCCTGGTGAGTGCCAAGAGGGCTGGTCCCCTCACAGGGCCTGAGTCATGAGGCCTAGAATGGGGGAAGCCACATGCAGTGTTTCAGCTGGAAGCCAGGATGCCTGGGTTCTGACAGAGGAGTGAGGTGTGGAAAGCAGCCAGGAGCTGAGAACCCAAAGGCTGAAATCATGTGAAGACTTGGGGAATGGAGTTTCATGGAGAGGAGGGAGGGCCACCTGGCTGGCAGGAGACAGGAAAACAGCTGCGGACAGCACGGGGCCTGACTTATAAAATAGTTTGGGTTAAAAAAAAAATCACACCACATTTATGGCAGTCATTTCCTGTCTTCTGCCTCCCAATGGACAGAGAAAGGGAGGGGTGTAAAGGCTAGGATGGTGGATCCAGGCTCGCCAGACCCGCCCTGTCCTATCCCCCACCCCTGGGGGGAAACAAGTCACATGGATGGAGCGGGAAGCTTTCTAGGGGCCCAGATCCTTGGACTTCCTAGGTTTCTGGTTGGAAACAGATGTGTTTAAAACAGCGCAGGCCGTGCATGGTGGCAAACCACCTAATCCCAGCACTCAATGAGGCAGAGGCAGAGGCAGGCAGAACGGAGCACTGTGTGTTCAAGGCCGTCCTGGGCTACATAGCGAGGTTGAGGCCAGCCTGAGCTACATAGTAAGACCCTGTGTTGACCCAAAACAAACATAAAAACAATATCCTCCACTGCCAGCCCAGGTCTGGAGGCTTCCCCCTGCCCAGACAACTTCCCCTAAGGGAGAATCAGAGAGGAATCGGGTTTTTCAAATCATCCCAAATCCAGTCCTGAGTCGGTGAAGCAGCTGGCATAAAATAGTTTATTAAGGGGAAAACAGGAGAAAAAGGGTTTGCTGGCAAAGTGCTGGAATGTGAGGAATCTGCCCACTTTTCAAGAACTGGAGCAGGTGGAACGCTGCCGGAGGCCATCCACAGAGGCCTCGGAGGTGCCCAGTGTCTCCGGGGCAAGGGCCGGGGTGGAGGCAGAGGCAGAGGCGGAGGCAGGAGCAGTCAGGTTGGCGTCGGTCAGCAGTGCTGCATCTTCCCAGGAGCCTGAACCTGGGCCAGAATCCAGAGTCCCAAATAAACTACTAGATTAACCGGAGGCCCTGCCCCCACCCCAGCTGCCCCGCCCCTCGGGCCCTCACCATCACTGGCCTCGGGCTCCAGCTCCTCCTCTCCACTCAGGGGCTGCTGATCTGGCTTCTCCTCCTCAGACAGCGGACCCTCTGTGACCAAGAGGGCAACACATAGGTGAGAACCCACTGTGGGGGGGGAGGAAGGAAGGGGCGACGGGACGGGACACAGAGGCTGATGGAGAGAGCTGAGGAGTCAAGAGGAGGGATTGAGCAGTACCTGTCCCTGAGGGGTCATCAGGGCTCTCACCATCCTCTGTCACATCTGACTGCTGGGTGGATTCTTCCTGAGTGCCTTCAGTCCCCGAGCCTCCAAAGCAAGAGAAAGAGACTGGGGTTGGTGGCTGTGCCGGGCGGGCAGATCCAACATTACCTTCTTGAGCCTTTTCCCTAATTGTGGACTCAGTGTGATGGCCGTACGCCTCTTACTAGAGAGAGGTAGGTGGCCTCTCTTGCCAGCCCAACTCCCCACCACCACCCAGGCAACCCTTTTACCTGGCTGATTGGTAGAGATCCGGCGGAGGGCTTCCTTGCGTGAACTCTCCCTTTTTCTCATGCTAGTCTGTTGGGGGCGGGTGGGGGACAGACAACTGAGCAGCAAGGATGGGAATCCTTTCTCCAGTGACCAGGGCCGCTGTTCCCTAAGCCCCAACATGTTCCTGGATGACCCACAAAGAAAGATCCTGAGGGGAAGGAAAATGGGGTTCCTGCCCTTTCTAACCTGCGAAGGGAAGTGGTGCCGGGGCCAGATGCCCCCCCACACCCATTGCATGTAGCTGAAGAGCACGATGACGCTGAGGAAGGTGAAGTTGCTGGCAACACCGATGAAGGCGCAGGTCATGGGGAAGTTGTACAGCAGGTACCTGAAAAGCAAGAGATGGGAGAGGAAGGGAACAGTAGTTACCAGCAGAACCAGCCGTCATGTTTCCCAGATGTAATACCTACTGAGTTTGACTTAAGAGTTGGATTTGGTGGCGCTGGGAAGGTGGCTCAGTGGTAGAGCGCTAGCCTTGAATGCATGAGGCCCTGGGTTCGATTCTCTAGCACCACATAAGAGAAAAAGCCGGAAGAGGCGCTGTGGCTCAAGTGGTAGAGTGCTATCCTTGAGCTGAAGAGCTGAGGGACAGTGCCCAGGCCCAGAGTTCAGGCCTCACGACCGGACCCAAAAAACAACAACAACAACAACAACAACAAAAAGAGTTGGATTTGGCCTCTATGTCCCCCATTCATATACCAGACCTGGTTACCCCAGGTTCTAATGAAGGTCAAGGACTTGGGGCAGCAGCAGCATTCCTGAATGTCTCTGGAGCCACCCGAACTCTTCCTGAGGCCATGGATCAAGACAATAGACTCTATGAGTATTCTGCTATATTTTTGTGCGGAGACTCTAATGTTGTTTCTTTCTTTCTTTCTAGTCTGAGACCAGGACTTAAACTCGGTTCTTGATGCTTTCACTCACTGACCAGTGCTCTACCCATTGAGCCATGCCTCCAACTCTGCAATCTAATGTTATGTTGCCCTGGCTGGCCTCAAACTTCTGGGAGCAACTGGATCTCCTGATCACTTGGCCTCCCAAGTAACTAAGACTACAGGCTCCTAGCACCACACCTGGT